GGGGGGGAGGGCGGCTGCAAGGGTCTGTCAGCAGGCGGGGGAGTACGGCCTCGAGGTGGGTTCCGGCAGACCATACCATACCCCGCAAAAAGTCCGAACCCTGCCGGCTGCCGTGGTGGGTGGCCCGACACTGACAATGCTAGTCCTGCTGTTGCCTCCTCACGCAGCCTTCCAGCCGTCGCTGCGCCTGCTGCCGCTGCCTCACGCAGCCTTCGCGCCACTGAGCCCTGCGCGATGCGTCCGCCAGCACCAAATGACCGAGGACAGGTCGGGCGGCGTCGAGGGCCTCTCGCGCCTGCAGCTGAGGCGCGCGATCGCGGAACGTGAGCGAGCCGTCCGGCGGCAGTTTCGCGACCGGACGACGGGCGGTACGTCGGACGTGGAGCTCGAGGTGCTCGAGACGGACCTCGATCGGATCCTGCAGGCGAGCGACCTCAACGGCGACGGTCGCATCCAGCCGACCGAGCAGCAGGCGGCGTTTTCGCAGTGGGAGCAAATCGCCTCAGCCAAGCTGCGCGAGCTGGAGTCGGAGCCTCCACCCGTCTCGGCGTGGACCGTGGCGGCGCGGCTACTCACTGGCGAGGCGGCTCGCTCGACGCGCGCCGCACTGGACGAGGAGCGGGCGGTCACCTCGGGTCACCTCGGGTCACCTCGGGTCACCTCGGGTCACCTCGGGTCACCTCGGGTCACCTCGGGTCACCTCGGGTCGTATCGGCTCATCTCGGGCCCTCGCGGGCCAGGCTAGTAGTCGAGCCGAGAGGGCACGCGAGCTCAGCCGAGCCGGTAGGAGCTCGCGCTCGAGCGGGCGGCGAAGCTGGTGGAGCTGCCTGTGATGTTCTCCGAGGAGAACGGCGGCTGGTTCGCAATCTCGGACCCTCTCGGACACCTCTCGGTTCATCTCGGCCGATCACGGCGGTAGGAGAACGGCGGCTCGTTCGACTTTGAGCGGTGGAACGTGCACCGGTCGGCGGGCAGGTGGCCGCGAGAGCGGCAGGAGGTGGCACGATCCGCCGCCGAGGTGGCCACGAGATCATCCGAGATTGCACTCGCAGGTACGGCCGGCTGCTCATCGGGATCCTGTTTGGCGTCACGACGCGCCGGATCGGAGTGACCGTCTCGCTGCTCGTCGCTTTTTCCGGGCTGGTGGACGTGTACTCGAACATGGCGCGCGCCTCGTCGATGATGCCCGAGGTGGAGCTGCCTCTCGGGTACTCTCGGCTACTCTCGGGTACTCTCGGGGACTCTCGGGTACTCTCGGGTACTCTCGGGTACTCTCGGCTACTCTCGGGTACTCTCGGGTACTCTCGGGTACTCTCGGGTACTCTCGGGTACTCTCGGGTAATCGCGCTTCGGCGATGGTGCCCGAGGTGGAGCTGCCGCTGACGCCGTTCGAGCTCACGGCGCCCGTCCTCGGCTTGCTGCTCGCCGTCCGTGGCGGGTGATCTCGGGCGATCTCGGCCGATCTCGGCCAATCTCGAGCAGGCTTGCTGCTCGTCTTCCGCACAAACACGGCGTACGAGCGCTTCAACGCGGGTC